TACATAAAATAGCACTGAACACACAAGCCGACCAAAGCAAGTGGTTACTTTTCCCCTTCTCGTCGTCTTCTGGTTTTCTATAACATTTCCTTTTCCAAGATGAAAGACATCTTTTCCTGATTCCTTCAGTGTGGAGTCTTACATTTTGGGGATGGGTGGAGACGAGAAGGTGGTAGAATAAAGGAGTGAGAGAAAAGGTAGAATGAATAAGAATGTGGTGCCCTAAGTCCCACCTCCCTACTTCTCCCTACCACACACTCAGGCTGCATCATCCCATCTGTGATTTCATCTCCCCTAGTCACCCTGAATTCCTCCAAGTCTATGGTACCAATCTGAGCACTCACTGCCCACCCCACCCCAAAAATGGCTACATGCAGCAATCTATTGAAAAGTTGGCCTGTGGTCTCAAGATAGAAAGTACTTGGAGAAACACAGGACTTTCCTTAAGATGCTAATCAAGACCCTTTTCTTCTCCGCTCAATCTTTTGAAAACATAATGAAAAATTCCATCTCGCCTTTATTGAAACACTCAGGGAAACCACACCTCAGCTGGCAGAGCTATGCCCCCAAAGTGGACCGACCCTTGCTCACAGCGGGAACTATGTGTTTTAGACGTTTTAAAAACCCATCTTGCTTGGACATGGGTTGTTTTTAAAAAGTATAACATTGATTGAAGAGACTTCTACTTTATAACATCAACAATTTAAAGAGGAGGAAGCTTTTATTTTTATGTGTCTTGGATGAAAGAGTGTAGAAAAGGCATAGGGAGATAGTGTTTGTATCTGCAGAAGCCAACGCTCCCTTCTTCCACAACGGTAGCTGACCATTATTGGTACTTACTCTGTATCTTACAAGAATTGACCCACAAAACAATCCTATAAGTTAGATGCTATACTTAGCATCACCTTCATCTTACAAATGGGGAAACTGAGACTTGGAATGGTCAAGAAGCTTGCCCAAGGTCTCATGTAGCAACTAGCCGAGCTAGGATTTGAACAGTGGGGCTCCAGAGTCCATGGGCGTAACTACTATGCTACAGTAACCTCTAGTTTACCACTGAATTAAAAGCTGGTCTTACACAAAAGCCATGGAGTGAGCAAAAATTCCATCCTTTTACTTCTATTCCAGAGAGATAAAAACAAAGGAAATGGGAGAGATAATGTTATTATCATCATTTTAATTTGTTAACTTGAGTTCTAAAGTCTGGCAGAATTCATGCTCCTCTTCCCACAATTTAGAGTTGTTTCTGGGAAGGACTAATCAACCAGGGCCTGAATTTCCCAGCCTCCCTCAGATCTAGGTGGGGTCATGGACCAGTTCTCTCCAGTAAAATGTGAGCCAAAAGAGTGTATGTCACTTTGGGGACAAGACAATGAAGAAGCAAGTGTACCTTCTCCATTCTCTCTTCCCCTGTTTTGCCTTCTCGATGCAGAGGGCTCCAAGCCCTAGGGAACAGAGAAGCTACAGGAAGAAAGTAGTCTGAGTACTTGAATGACTTAATGGAAGGCTGTCCACTGTCTAGGGACACTGAACAAATACGTGAGTAAGAAATAACCTTCTGTTGTGTTAAACCACTGAAACTTGGGGTTTGTATGTTACCACAGCTAGCATTACCTTAATATATAAAGCACACAACCAATGACTGTCAAAGAGCCCCCAACATGTCCCTGCGCCCTTTCTGTTCTAGTTCCTTACTGCTGCATAACCACATCAAAACTAAGTGTCTTAACCCAACCATCGTATTATGCTCACCGACTCTGTGGGTCAGGAATTCAGGTGGGGTACAACAGAGCTTGGATCTCCTCCACAATGTCTGGAGCCTCAGCTGGAAGACACAGAGGACTGGGGATGATTCAGGGTCAGGCTGATGTTATCCAGGGGAACCTTCATTCCCATGACTGGCCATTGATGCTGGATGTCAATTGGGACCTCAGTTGGGGTTGTCAGGCAGGACATCTACATGTGGCCTCTTCATGTGATCTCTCCACTTCCTTATGTAGACTAGTTTCCAGCAGTGAACATCCCAAAAAGACCAGGTGGAAGCTATATCACCTTTTATGACATAGCATTACTTCTGCTGGAGTCCCATGCCCATCTAGATTCAAGGGGAGGAAATATAAACTCCACCTTGCAATGTGAGGAATGTCAGTGTCACACGGTAAGAGCAAGAGGGATGGGAGATCTTGTAATCATCTTTTAAAAGAGTGACCTGCCACACTTCCTTTTCATAATTCTTTTATTTTTTCCTTCCTTCCTTCCTTCCTTCTTTCCTTCTTTCCTTCCTTCCTTTTCTTCTTCTTCTTCCTCTTCCTCTTCCTTCTCCTCTTCTTCTTCTTCTTCCTCTTCTCTTCTCTTCTTTCTCTTCTCTTTTTCTTTTTTTGAGACAGGGTTTTGGGGTTTCACTGTGTTACCAAGGCTGGAGTGCAGTGGCACAATCATGCAGTCTTGACCTTCCAGGCTCAGGCGATCCTCCCACCTCAGTCTCTCAAGTAGCTGGGACCACAGGTGCACACTATTTTTTTTTTTTTTTTTTTTGTAGAGCTAGAATCTTCCTATGTTGCCCAGGCTGGTCTTGAGCTCCTAGGCTCAAGTGATCTTCTCACCACGGCCTCCCAAAGTGCTGGGATTATAGGTGTGAGCCACTGTGCCCAGCTTTTCCATACTTTTCTCATCCCTTTCCCTTTCTTCTTCTTGCCCTGTACTTTCTCTCCTTCTTGTCATGTTCCTTCCCCACTTCCCAAGCCTGTCCACAGTCAGCTCTAACATTCCTCAGTTCTGTTTAATTGACATTAACTGAGCATATATAATGTGACAGTTGTCAGTTTCACGTAGATAACCCCCTACTTACTTTTCCACATCCTGCTGTCTTTTCCCACTTCAGTTTTCCCTCTTGAGGTGGGTATGAGACAGGGTTTCTCAGCCTCAGCATTGTTGACATTTTGTATGGGATAACTCTTGTTGTGGGGACTATCTTGTGATTTGTAGGATGTTCAGCAGCATCCTTGGCCTCTAGTCATTAAATGCCAGTGGCACCTCTCCTCACATCATGACAACCAAAAATGTCCCCAGACATTGCAAAATCACCCCCAGTTAAGAGCCACTGTTAAAAGGGAATATATAGGGGAGGTAGAGTTGATAAAATCCCCAAATCTTAGAAGTCAGTGGTCTCGACGAGATCGGGCACGTTCAGGGTGGTATGGCCATAGACAGAAGTCAGTGGTCTTCAAACTGTTTTGGTCATGCACCCTTAGTAACAAAACAGTGTCTGAGACTACAACCCAATATGTGCATGTTTCTTTATTCATATAAAGTCTATACATATCTTCTATGTTGTTCTTTTTTGTAATTATAAAATAATCACAAAAGTAGGCATTTTTAAAAGGATTAGATAAAAACCTAATTAGAGGCCAGGTGTGGTAACTTACCCCTGTAATCCCAGCACTTTGGGAGGCCAAGGTAGGATTACTTTAACCTGGGAGTTCAGTACCAGCTTGGGCAACACAGTGAGACTCCACCAAAAAAAAAAAAAAAAAAAAAAAAACAAGGAAGAAAGGAAGAAGAAGAAAAAAAACAAAACAAACAAACAAACAAACAAAACTGTCCGGCACTGTGGCTCATGCCTGTAATCCTAGCACTTTGGGAGGCCAAGGCAGGCAGATCACTTGAGGTTAGGAGTTCAAGACCAGCCTGACCAACATAGTGAAACCCCGTCTCTACTAAAAATACAAAAATTAGCCAGAAATTGCTTGAACCTGGGAGGCGGAGGTTGCAGTGAGCTGAGATCATGCCACTGCACTCAGGCCTGGGCAACAGAGGGAGACTCTGTCTCAAAAAAAAAAAAAAAAAAAAGACAAAAAAAAAAACTAATTAGATATCCTGATATAATCATCTTGGTCACTCCCTGTGGATGGCCATTTCTAGTGCTAGACCATAATGAATGCAACCTCTAGGGCTAGACAGATCTAGGCTTACAGCACTGGTTTCTGTTTCCTGCACTGCCATTTACTAGTTGAGTTACATTTATTCATTCAATAAAATGTCAGGAATGCAATGGAAAACAAGAACCTTCAAGAAACTCCTCATAGGCAAAATGAAGATAACTTGTAGGATGGTAGTGAGGATTAATAAGACAATATACGATAAGCATATAATAGGCACTCAAAAGTGGTGCCTGTGAATTCATGGCAGGGCTATTTGTGACAGCAAAAGACCGGAAAGAGCCCTACTGCATATCAACAAAGGACTGGTTGAATAAACAATGTTATATCTATGAAGCAGGATAGGTACTCAAGGAAGTAACCATGTCCTCAGGATGCAACAACCATGGTGACCGTGGTGACTGTACAGTCAACACCATAACCCCAGCATTCACATTGTAGTCAAGCTCATTCAAGCAAAGTTGTCTCTAGTAGAGAATTTCCCCCATAGAGAGCATGCATATTTTGATTTTACCTGTCCTCAGACTGACCCTTTGCTCATCATAATAGTAAAAACCACACCCTTGGGTAGAGATGTAAGGTGCTAATGAGACATGTGGGGAATGAATAGGCAGGCACAGCTACTGCGCATGTGCACCCAGAGGACCGCCCAGAGCGTGCTTCCTAGTAACACCTCTTCCCAATCCTTTAAGAAGGATGTAAGTCTCCCGTAAAGGGAGTCTCCCTAGTGCCAGTCTTGGCTGCCCCACCCTGAATCCTCTCTCAGGGTGGACTGCCTCTTCTGCACTTAACTTTCAAAATATTCTTTTTCCTTTGCAATAAATTGTTCTATGTTGCATCTCCTGCTGTGTGTCTCTTGTTTAAATTCTTTTAAACTAAGAAGACAAGAACTAAGGTCTCACAACAGCCATCAGCATCTACACAATAGAGCAATATACAGCTGTCAAGAGGAAGAAGGGACTGGGCATGGTGGTTCACACCAACACTTTGGGAGGTTGAGGGATTTTTTCTTTTAATTATTATTAAATTTAAAAAAGAGAGCTTCCTTTCCAGCCCCGGCCCCGGACCCTGCAGCCGCCGAGATGTTGATGCCTAAGAAGAACCGGATTGCCATTTACGAACTCCTTTTTAAGGAGGGAGTCATGGTGGCCAAGAAGGATGTCCACATGCCTAAGCACCCGGAGCTGGCGGACAAGATGTGCCCAACCTTCATCTTCATGTCATGAAAGCCATACAGTCTCTCAAGTCCCGAGGCTATGTGAAGGAACAGTTTGCTGGAGACATTTCTACTGGTACCTTACCAATGAGGGTATCTCCGTGATTACCTTCATCTGCCCCCGGAGACTGTGCCTGCCACCCTATGCTGTAGCCGTCCAGAGACTGGCAGGCCTCGGCCTAAAGGTCTGGAGGGTGAGCAACCTGCGAGACTCACAAGAGGGGAAGCTGACAGAGATACCTACAGACGGAGTGCTGTGCCACCTGGTGCCGACAAGAAAGCTGAGGCTGGGGCTAGGTCAGCAACCGAATTCCAGTTTAGAGGCGGATTTGGTCGTGTACGTGGTCAGCCACCTCAGTAAAATTGAAGAGGATTATTTTGCATTGAATAAATTTACAGCCAAAAAATAAAATAAAATAAAATAAAATAAAAAAGAGAGGCTGGGCGTGGTGGCTCACACTTGTAATCCTAGCACTTTGGGAGCCCGAGGCAGGTGGATCATGAGGTCAGGAGTTTGAAACAAGTCTGGCCAACACAGTGAAACCCTGTCTCTACTAAAAACACTAAATTTAGCTGGACATGGTGGCGTGTGCCTGTAATCCCAGCTACTCAGGAGGCTGAGGCAGCAGAATCGCTTGAACCTGGGAGGCGGAGGTTGCAGTGAGCTGAGATCATGCCACTGCACTCCAGCCTGGTGACAGAGCGAGACTCCATCTCAAAAAAAAAAAGAAAAAAGAGAGAGAGAGAGAGAGAGAAAGGAAGAATATATGTATATATTGTTATGGAGTAATCTCCAGGATACTTAGTTAAAACAAGCGAGGTGAGGTACAGTGGGTGGGAGTGGGACTGAATGGGTGAAGCCCGAAGGATTTTTTTTTGGGCGATAAACTATTTTCTCTGATGTTATAATGGTGGATACATGACCCTATGCATCTATAAAAACCCATAGAACTTTGCAGTAAGAGTGAACCTTAACGTATATATTAACCTTAATGTGTACATAAGTCAATCATTAATGTAAAATGTATACAAATTCTAAGCAATCATTTAGCAGGTCAGAGGATCCCACATAGAATAGACTATGACAAAACAACCTGGCCGGGCATGGTGGCTCACACCTGTAATCCCAGTATTTTGGGAGGCCTAGGCAGGCAGATCACGGGATCAGGAGATCGAGACTATCCTGGCTAACATGGTGAAACCCCATCTCTACTAAAAATAAAAAAATTAGCCGGGCGTGGGGGTGGGCGCCTGTAGTCCCAGCTACTTGGGAGCCTGAAGCAGGAGAATGGCGTGAACCCGGGAGGCGGAGCTTGCAGTGAGCTGAGATTGGGCCACTGCACTTCAGCCTGGGCAACAGAGCAAGACTCTGTCTCGGGAAAAAAAAAAAAAAATCTAATCTAACTGTATTACAAATGTATGAAACAACCTCTCTGAAGGGGTTTGAGGGAAAAGGGTGCTGACCTCAGCCACTTTGGAAATGAGTGGAGTCTGTAAGACCGAAGTCAAAAGCCCTGCATACACGTACTGTACTATAGGTGATAAAGTAGTCTCCACAAGTGTATGGCTTAACAATTCTGAAATCACTATACATGTATACTGGAAATGGAAGATTAAGTCACGGGATGGCAGATGGTGGGATTCTGGGTTCTCACTTTTGAAGTAGAAGGTTACAGATAAACAAGGGGAGATAACTAGGATGATTCTGGGAATGGATGAGAGTGGTAAGACATCAGAATGAACTCATGCATAGCTTACAGATACACACACACACAACACAAATGTGTATATATGCATAAACTAAACATTTATAAATATGTGTATATAGAAGGTTAGTATTCACCCATATGTTTATTTGCTCTGTCAGCTGAGAAGGCCTAGAAACGATGACATCCCACTAGCAATGACTGCACCTAGTGCCAAGAGTTTCTTGGTTTCTAATACCATTTTCCAAAAAAGGAACCAGAGATCCTTGGAGAAATAGCTGGTTCTAGGTCTAGGGCATCTTGTGACAGAAAGTAAGGAAGTACTTAGCAAAACACAGCAATGGGAGTATGTCAAAAGGACACTATAGCCACCCAAAAGAGCTCTCAATGGCCGAAGTAGGAACAATCTGAGAAACAAAGCAGTATGAGATTATAACCCAAAGTATAAAATAAATATCCATGGGTTCACACTGACATATTTTTCATTTTATTTATTTGTTTTTGAGACAGGTCTCACTCTGTCACCCAGGCTGGGGTGCAGTGGCTCACTGCAGCCTTGACTTCTTGGGCTCAAGCAATCCTCCTGCCTCAGCCTCCCAAGTACCTGGGACCACAGGTGCATGCCACCATCACCCAGCTAAATTTTTAATTTATTATTTGTAGATAGAGGGTCCTGCTGTGTTGCCCAGGCCCATCTTGAACTCCTGGGCTCAAGTGATCCATTCATCTTGGCCTCCCAAAGTGCTGTGCTGGAACTATAGACATAAGCCACCGTACCCGGCCTGACACAAAAAAGTGATTGAATAAATAACAGGGGAGGAGAGGCAAACTCCCGTGCAGAATTCCAGACAGTTTCTGTAGAGACCCTGCAGTCAAGGAAGTGCAGCAGAATTCCTCACTCCTTAAATTTGGCCTAGGAATAGTGACTTCATCCCAAAGAGTACAGTGTGGAAAGAGAGAGAAAAAAAAGAGTAAGTTTAGGCTGGGTGTGGTGGCTCACGCCTGTAATCCCAGCACTTTGGGAGGCTGAGGAGGGTGGATCATCTGAGGTCAAGAGTTCAAGACCAACCTGGCCAACATGGTGAAACCCCATATCTACTAAAAATACAAAATTAGCCGGGTGTGGTAGTGTGTGCCTGTAATCCCAGCTACTTGGGAGGTTGAGGCAGAAGAATCACTTGAACCCGGGAGGCAGAGATTGCAGTGAGTCGAGATAGCGCCATTGCACTCCACCTGGACAACAAGAGTGAAATTCTGTCTCAAAAAAAAAAAAAAAAAAAAAGCCGGGTGCGGGCTCACGCCTGTAATCCCAACACTTTGGGAGGCCGAGACAGGCGGATCACGAGGTCAGGAGATCGAGACCATCCTGGCTAACATGGTGAAACCCCGTCTCTACTAAAAATACAAAAAAAAAAAAAAAATTAGCTGGGCGTAGTGGCAGGCGCCTGTAGTCCCAGCTACTCGGGAGGCTGAGGCAGGAAAATAGCGTAAACCCGGGAGGCAGAGCTTGCAGTGAGCCGAGATCACGCCACTGCACTCTAGCCTGGGCCGCTGAGTGAGACTCTGTCTCAAAAAAAAAAAAAAAAGTAAGTTTACAATGGAGAAACCTGACAAAAACTACCTAGATTTCCAAAGCCTGATTTCCTAACCATGGTTGCAATCCCAACATGGAAAGTTTTACCTGTGTGGCACTGTCAGATCAAGAAATAAGAAACGCCAGGTGAACAAGATGAACACCAACAGGGATAGTTCAAGTTGATAACATGTACCCTTGATATGATTCCATGAGAATGACACTTTACCCCTGTGGTCTTCCTTCCCCAAATCCATAACCTGAGTCTAATCATGAGAAAAACATCAGACAAATCCCAATTGAGGGACATTCTACAAAATATCTGTCTGGTACTCCTCAAATTGTTGAGGTCGTCAAAAACAAGGAAAGTCTGAGAATCTATCACAGCCAAGAGAAGCCTAAGGAGACACACAGACTAAATGTCAAGGCGGCTTCTAGGTGTGCTTGCTGTTCCTGGGATAGAATGCTAAGGTGGGGTGGGGGCACCAGCAGATACCTATGCACAACTTAGGGAAGCATCTCCATGAGTGCAGCTATGACTCTCACCAATGTTCCTGGCCCTCTGTGATGTCAGGGCCTGCATTTCTTGATCTGACTGCGCAACACAGATAAAACGTTCCAGGTTGGGATTGCACCCATGGTTAGGAAACTAGACTTTTGAAACAGACTTGAATTGACATCCTACTCTGCCATTTCATTTGTTACTTTGGGAGGATTACCAAAACCTCTCTGTGCCTCTTTTCTCATCATCTCTAACGTAGGGATTATAATTGTAACCACTAATAACTGGCTAATTTTTCTTTTTTCTTTTTGTTTGTAAAGGACAAATAAAGTATGTAGGGTGCTTGGCCTAGTACCTGGCACTTAGCACTCAGTAAATGTTAGCCATTTACTATTGTACACTGTGTAATTCACTTAGTGTATATATTTTCTTTTCTTGTTGTTTTCTTTTGTTTGTGTATTTGTTTTTGAGACAGAGTCTTGCTCAGTCGCCCAGGCTAGAGTGCAGTGGTGTGATCTCAGATCACTGCAACTTCTGCCTCCCAGGCTCAAGGGATCCTCCCACCTCAGCCTCCCCAGTAGCTGGGATAACAGGTGCTCACCACCATGCCCGGATCATTTTTGTATTTTTACTAGAGACGGGGTTTCACCACGTTGGCCAGGCTGGTCTGGAACTCCTGACCTCAGGTGATCCACCTGCCTCGGCCTCTCGAAGTGCCGGGATTACAGGCGTGAGCCACCATGCCTGGCTGTGTTGTTGTTGTTCTCGTTGTTGTTGTTGTTGTTTTTGATGGAGTTTCACTCTTGTTGCCCAGGCTGGAGTGCAATGGCAAGATCTCAGCTCACCGCAACCTCCGCCTCCTGGGTTCAAGCAAGTCTCCTGGCTCAGCCTCCCAAGTAGCTGGGATTACAGGCATGTGCCACCACGCTGGGCTAACTTTGTATTTTTAGTACAGACAGGGTTTCTCCATGTTGGTCAGGCTGGTCTTGAACTCCCAACCTCAGGTGATCCGCCCACCTTGGCCTCTCAAAGTGCTGGGATTACAGGCATGAGCCACCATGCCCAGACCTGGCTGTTTTTTTGACAGAATTTTATTTAGGAAAATTGTTTTCCTTCATTCCCCTGGTGCAAAAGAAAAAGAAAAAGAGGAAGAAAGAAGGAAGGAAGGAAGGAAAAGAGAAAGAAAAGAAAGAGAAAAAAAGAAAAAGAAAGAGAGAAAGAAAGAACAAGCAAGAAAGAAAGAGAAAGAAAGAGAGAGAAAGAAGAAAGAAAGAAAGAAAGAGAAAGAAAGAAAGAAAGAAAGAAAGAGAAAGAAAGAAAGAAAGAGAAAAAGAAAGAAGGAAGGAAGGAAAAAGAGAAATTGTTAACTAGGTGTTGGAAAACTGAAAAGACAAAAGGGGCTCAACCATTGGAGGTACTCACTACAGGCAGCAGCTATCACACTGTATGGAAAATCCAAATAAGAGGCTGAGTTTAAAAACAGTTTTTTAGTTGGCCGGGCTTGGTGGCTCATGCTTGTAATCTCAGCACTTTGGAAGGTAGAGGCGGTTGGATCGTTTGAATCCAGAAGACATGGCAAAACCCGATATCTACCAAAAAATACCAAAATTAGCTGGGCTTGGTGGCACATGCCTGTAATCCCAGCTACTCTGGAGGCTGAGGCAGGAGAATCGCTTGAACACGGAGGCGGAGGTTGCAGTGAGCCGAGATCGCGCCACTGCACTCCAGCCTGGGTGACAAGGCGAGACCCAGTCTCTAATCAATAATAATAATAATCAAATTAACAGTTTTATTGAGTAAAATTTACATGCCATAAAATTCACCCACTGAAAGTGTACACTTCCTTCACTTCACCTTACAGGGTCTCACTCTGTTGCCCAGGCTGCGATGCAGTGGCGCCATATTAGCTCACTGCAACCTCTGCCTCCCGGGGTCAGGAGCTCCTCCCACCTCAGCCTCCCGAGTAGCGGGACTACAGGTGTGCACCACCACACCCAGCTAATTTTTCTTTCTTT